TGACGGCAGTACCACGGCCCGACAGAACCCCGCAGAGCCCAGAGCCCGGTTGTTTGACAAGGCCCGGCTCTCGCGGCTGGAGAGGGCTGAGGCCGGTTGCTGGCCCAGGTCTCGAGACGGAGTCGCTGTGGGAGCTCTGAGGACCAAGATGGTCTGAGTGAGCATTGGATCAAGAGATATTGATATCAAGATTGCCCTTTTTTTCCTCCCCCCTTTTGAAGCCTTGAAGATCGAAAGGGTCGAAGGGGCAGCTCGGCGCTGACAGCCGGAAGCTCTTTGTCGAAGAGTGGCAAGATCCGACAAGCTGCGAAGCAGTGAGGCCTGGGTGAGGGAAGAGTGGCGAGGAGCATTCCGGCGCTTCGATGTCCTTGGTGACCTGGGATTCACGGAGGGATTCACGGGTGCGGCTCAGAGGCTGCCCGAGCCGTCTCAGGCAGTGAGAGCAAGAAAGAGCCTTGTGGCCAGGGCCAGTTCCAAGAAACTTGGGTCGCATTTTAGCTAGAGCTTCGTCCTCTTGCAGAGGTCTCAAAGCCCCAAGATCGGAGCACGATTGCTCCGTGGAGAGGGTCAGTATTTTCAGAATAGACAGCTGGGTGTCGCGGACTTCTTGAAGCGCATCACGTGACCACGATGCCCGGTTCTCCCTAACAGGGAGACACTTGTTGTGTAAAAGAGCATGCGTCAATCCGCCACTAAACTCAAAGTGGAATAGTTCTTCTGCACATTGCAGCAGCCGTGTCAACCACAGAATCTTGAGCCAATGCTTGAGGTGCCTGTGGAAGCGATCTTCAAACTGGGAACCCGTTTCCTGAAACACCCTGGAAATAAGGCAGCTGAGGAAGGTCGGTGGCTTGGCAACCGCAGGGTAGTTTCTGTCCAGGCATTCTCACACAGATTTTTAAATCGTGCAAAGCTTCTTTGTTCCTCTGTGAAACCATGCTGCAACATGCCACTAAAGGACTGGAACATGTGGTGTCCCTTCAAACTCCTGCGCTTCGGTGCCATTACCTGCTGAGGCAATGCTATAGTTTTGGGCAGCTGTGGGCAGTTCCCTGCCTCAAGGCCAGGCCGCCAGGATAGCCAGGTCTGGTCCCACCAGAACGGACACGTGTCTCAGGTGCAAGTGCAGGAGTTTCGGAGTTGCGTTTCGTCGTAAGCTCCTGGTGAGCTGCGGCTCGTCCTCCTCTCGCTCCGATGGTGGACTCTGATGATGGTCGGATTGGCTCTCCTCCCCGCGGAAAGGAGGCATGTCTACGTCGATCAGTGTCGGCGAGCTGTTTCCGGCTTTGCAGAGGTCTGTCCGCCATCCGCCCACGGCCCTTCGGCCTGAGAGTCTGAGAGCACCTAAGAGAGATCTCCAGAAATCGTGTTTCAAATCTACCTTGTCGGGTTCCCAAATTAAAAATCCCCAGCAACGAAGCTCGGAGCTAAGATGTTACGACAGCGCGTGTTTGTCCGGCCCGGAGTGAATGCCTCTGCTCCGTCTCACGAGACCGTGGTGACCTTGAAGATGTATTCTGCTTCAGATTTGCCATGAGAGTTTGCTTGAACACTTGGAAGGTGCTGTGGAACTTCTTCGCCAGAATTCTGCCGGATGTTGCAGGGGTTAATGCACAGACCCACGCAAGCTTCATGAGCTCTGCAAGCTCTGCCCACGTCAGAGCAAGATTGTCCTCTTCCTGATGGAGGCACTATCTCCACCCGCTTCGCCACGAGGAGTCGTAACTGGGTAACTGGGTGGCATAGACTTGCGCCAGCTCCCCGCCGGGCCAACCTTTGCTTCCTGAAGCCAATGCGTTCCGGTGCAGCTTGGGGGAGATGCAGGAAGCTTACGGGTGCTTTGACAGGAATCTCGGCGGTGGAGCCAAGCCTTACCCAGGACAACGAGACCTAGAAGCTTCTGTGGAGCTCTCCTTCTCTGGGCCCATCTCCTACGCTGAGGATCCCCGTGTCACTGCGCTGATTGGTGGACTGTCGAGGCTCCGACTCCTCGGAACTGGACCAGCTCTTTTCGCCTGTCTAGAGGAGCAGAAATCTGCGACGCAGATGGTGAAACCCAGTGCCGGCGGTTTCTTTGTGTGTTCAGACCACGAGGGGGACCACGGCATTAGCATCAGTAAGTCAGCAGGGAGTTGTCTTGGCAGCCAAGTTGATTGCGAGCTGTAGCCATGTGCTTCTCCCTTGAGGATGAGGGTATTCGTTCCATTCTGGTGACCGGTTGCTGCAGAGCCCTTTGTCGTCCGCAGAGCGGCTGCTGCAATGGTGTGTAAGAATGTCGAGCAGCTTCAGCTTTGGCAATGGCTTAAACAGCACTTGACTGGTACGGCCTCAGCTGGCGCCCTCCCGACCTTCACCCGCGCTTTCATTCGAGACCTCCAGATTGGACTTACTGCTGGGCCATGTGACGCAAGCTGACGATCTGACACAGGATCTCGTCTCAGACTCGCCGAGTTTGAGAGTTCCGAAGAGCGGCTCTGCGTGCAGGAGGCCGATTTGGAGCCGGACCCGCCCCCGGCGCCCTGAGCTTCTGCTGCGCCTGCGTCGCAGACCGCCGTTGCCAGGGTGGGCCCTTTTTGAGCCTTTTGGGCACGGGTGAAGTGGACGACTTTGGGCCTGAAGCCTCTTGCGGTCAGCTGAGGGACGGGCTTGTCTCAAGCGAGCGTGACAGGGTTCATCAATCCTTAAGCACAGGTAAAGACTAGCCTGCAGCCACGACGCAGGCGTGTTGGTCCGGAGTTTTGCTGCCGCCAGAACGGCGCGTGTTGAGTCGTGAAATTGGCGTCCTGACTTGGCAGCGGCATCTGTGAAGATATGGATTTGCTGTCATTGGTGAGCGCGACATCCGGGTGCTGCGCTCTCAAACCTGGCGCAGCTCTGTTTCTAGAGACGAAGGCGAGCCACGTGGCACCTCGTGAAACTGCGGACGCGAGACATGATCCGCTTCAAGTCGCTTAGGCTTCGACAGGATGTATCGCCGAAGATGATGGAAGCCTCTCGTGCTTCTTCTTAGCACTTTCTAACAGTCTTCTGGTTGCCGCTGGCTGCAGAGATGGAGTTCAAGGACTGGCAACCGCCTTTTCCGAGATTTTGCCACAAGGGCAGCTTCAGTCTTCGATCCGGATGCCTGGGTCTTCTGGAGACTGAGGCCCAAGGAACTCTGCTCTCTCAAGCGTCCTCTGACTCTGAGGGCACGGCTGCACATGCTGTGCTCAAGAAGGTGCTGAGGGTGCAGTCGCGAAGCTCCTCCGAAGTGCCCGTGTCAGGAAAGGCGCAGCAGGTGCTCTGCCGCTGCAGCTGGAGCTGTGACTATGCTCGAAGGTCCTTTTTGTGCGAAGCTTTCGGACACAGCGAAACCCTCATCAGTGTTAAGGCCGTCTGGCTCAAGTTCATGGACCTGTGTGGTCGGAGTGGCCAAGTACCTCTGCAAGAAGTTAGCCGAACAACGCCTTCCAAGAAGATGTCCTCATGCTGGTGTAGGGCTCAGCCCTGCCTCAGTCGAAGTCTTCCCGCTGACAGTGGCAGAAGGAGCTTACTAGGGCAGAGATCTAGAACCCGCCTTTGAGCCCGTCCATAGACTTGCTTGAAGGGGTTTCGAAGGGACACGATGTTGCGACCTGCCCCGACAGCAGTGATGGGTGGCTTGCCGACGAGTGGCCCACTTTGTGCAGCTGAACTGTCGTGTGTGTAGGATGCTAACGTCAAGTACGAAGGGTTCCGGGAGGCTCACAGCAATAGCTCGAAGGTCCTTGCAACACGGGCAGTGGCGATGGGACCCAATCAGAGTCTCCTCCGACACCGAGATTTGAGGGCAGCAGCCCCTCGTGGTCGGAGCGACATCTCGTTCTCGTCAGTAGCTAGGGCTAGAACTCTTGTGGGCCGTGCCGCAGCGCCCGACCTGGGGTGCACGCGTGAACCGTAAAGTCGATCGGAGCTTGATGTTGAGTGCTCACGGGTGTCCAGCGGTATGAAGGTTTCTTGGTTTCAGGGGACGTTCTGCTTCCCCCCATGGCCATGGTATGGCAGCATGCTGTGTGCGTGCAACGCGATCGGAGACACGCAGCAGCCTGCATGCCGTGCTTGCGATGTCGGCAGCGGCAGACTAGTCGAAGCAGCTTGAGAGAGCGAAGTCTCTCACCTTGCTTGTACAGCCTGCAGCCGGTCCAGTTGTGCTCCGGATAGAGGCGAAAAGCCTCACAGGCAGACTCGTCGCTCCCAAAACACCGAGGGGGCCGCCTCTCCTGCCGGGCCTTCGTGGTCTGAAGCTGGCGGAAGCGTCTCTGAGAAATTTTGAAGATCCTTTCGGAAGGGCCCCGTGGGAAGTGAGCCACCTTCCAAGCTCATCGGCTTCTGTCGGGAAGCTGGCAGGCTTCGTCTTAGAAGGCTGAAGGCTTAAGGCGAAGGCCTTTCTCAGTGGTCTATGCTTATGGAGGCCTTGCTACCGGAAGCTCCCCGAACCTAGGAGCTACTCGACCATCGACGTGGCATCTAGGGCACCGGCACACCACCCTCGTGGTCGCCGATGGCGTCGAATCGAACTCCTCTTTCCGGGCCGGGTGCTCCGCCAGGCTCTTTTTTTGAGACGCGAAAGCCTTGGATTGGATTGCACGCCCGAGATCTCCGGACCATTGCATTGCAGAGCGTCAAGCAGCCATGCTTGACGCGGAAGTCGTCTCGTCGTCGTGGCCTATTACTCGTACATTCACGCCATCCCGCTGCCTGCTCTCTCGTGGAGCAGTGAGGCCTGCAAGGGCACTGACAGAAGCGAGGTGTTGGGGAAGTTTGCGTCGCATGCCGGCGGCAGCGCGACGCCCCAGCCCTGCCCCAGCTGAACCATGTCTTCGACACTGGTACAGCTTGGGCAGTGCAGGGCAGCGTGCTTGTGTTTGGAGTGTTTATCAGTTCGGACCGTCCTCAGGGAAAACTGCTTTGCTCGGGCCTCGAAGCTGAGAGCACGCAAGCCTCGTGCCCGGTGCCAAGACGGCCTGTGGGGTCGTGGTGGTTTAAAGACTGTTGGCCTCTGTTTTCGCGGCGTGTGAGGAGCCCGCCCATGTCCTCCACACCCCTTGCCTGAAGTGCAGCATGTGAACAAGGCCTTTACCGGAAGAACTCTCAAGCTCAAGCCAGTGGAGCACGTCAGGTGTCTGGCCCCAGCCAGGTACAAGACCTAGCCCAGCCCGAGATGGACGTCTCCTTCCTCTCTGTGACTCCGGGCATTTTCTCCACAGGGACTTCAGGCTCTGTGAGCCTTTGTCATCGGGGCTGTTGTTGCGTGCAGGACCGGCGTGCCTCGTTCCTGCCGAAGCTGGCGGCTGCAGAGGCGTCAAAAGCAACCCAGGCTCTGGGGCTTTTATGGGGGCTGTGGCCCGTCGTCGCCCCGCTTCCGCAGCAACGCGTGTGGATCCTCGCCGAGGCAGCAGGCTTGGGGTGTTCTTGCCTTCCGGTTCAGCAGAGACCATCCCGGCGCCTCTGCTTGACGTGAAGGCTGTACCTCGCAGCTGCATGAATCAACTCTCAGGCAGAACCGTGCCTTGCAAGCAGGGTACCAGCACGGGCAGATGCTGAGATAAGACTGGCAAAAGCTCTGAAAGCCTTGAACTGACCTGCAGAGGGGGCAGGCTGCTGCGAACACTGATACTGTGAGATTTGCACAGGCTTCCAACAAGAGCCGCAGAGCCTCTTAGCTTGCTTGTGCTGAAGAGCCCTGCCTTGAGTGGCACAGTAGCCTAGCAGCTCTGATACTGTTTCGGCATGTGCCTGAACATCCCCCTGAGCGGTGCCCGTGCTTGAAGTGCAGCCAGTAGTCAACAAGCCCACCAGCCTGCAATCACGGTATCAGCTGTGTAAGACCAGAGATGCACTTGTCGCTGGCAGCAGGTAAAGGACCTAGCCCAGCCCGAGATGGACGTCTCCTGACTCCGGGTGCCCGTGGGCTGCAGGCAGAGCCCCCGACGTCGGCAGCTTCAGGCCCAGTCGGCTTGTGTTTTTGGGGCTGCTGTTGCATGCAAGGGCGCCGCCGCGCAGCTCTCCTACCGGGGCTGGCGGCTAGTGCCCTGCTCGGCTCTCTGCGAGGGCTCTCTGCCCAGTTCGGCCCTAGCAAAACTGTCTTTGATGTCAAAGCAAGGATGGATGCTTCCGCTTCCGGTGCGGGGCAGCGCCATGCTCGAAACCGCGCGTGGCAGGGCTCGCTTCGCAGGGCCAAGCGGAGCCTATCGAGCCGTGATGCGCTCGACGCGGCCGTGGCACAGTTCCCTGCACTGCCCTGTGATGGGAGCTCTGCAGTTGCGGACCAGGTGGCCGGTGCCATGTTTGGAGGACACGCCGCAGGTGACCTCGTGGAGCCTCTGCAGCTTGTTGCAGATGCTGTTTCGGCATGTGCCCGGACATCCCGCTGAACGGTGCCCGTGCTTGAAGTGCAGCCAGTAGTCAACAAGCCCACCAGCCTGCATGAGCACCTTGTTCACGCAAAGTCGCCATCACGGTATCAGCTGTGTAAGACCAGAGATGCACTTGTCGCTGGCAGCAGGTAAAGGACCTAGCCCAGCCCGAGATGGACGTCTCCTGACTCCGGGTGCCCGTGGGCAGGCAGAGCCCCCGACGTCGGCAGCTTCAGGCCCAGTCGGCTTGTGTTTTTGGGGCTGCTGTTGCATGCAAGCAGCTCTCCTACCGGGGCTGGCGGCTAGTGCCCTGCTCGGGCTCTCTGCGAGGGCTCTCTGCCCAGTTCGGCCCTAGCAAAACTGTCTTTGATGTCAAAGCAAGGATGGATGCTTCCGCTTCCGGTGCGGGGCAGCGCCATGCTCGAAACCGCGCGGCCAAGCGGAGCCTATCGAGCCGTGATGCGCTCGACGCGGCCGTGGCACAGTTCCCTGCACTGCCCTGTGATGGGAGCTCTGCAGTTGCGGACCAGGTGGCCGGTGCCATGTTTGGAGGACACGCCGCAGGTGACCTCGTGGAGCCTCTGCAGCTTGTTGCAGGTGCGGTCTATCGCGGCTGACCTCGCTGCGAGCTCTGTGGCACCATAAGGACCATGACCTTGCATGTGACTTCTTTCACGCTGCATCCAATCAGCATCACGACCCTATTCACATACACGCAAGAGGCTCGCGAAGCTTCTTGCCTCTAAGTTCGTACCCTCGGCACCAAGTGAGGCTCATCGCCTCCTGATCTGTCCCAGAAAAGTGCAAGCACGCAGGAGGGCCCCTTCTCTAATTGGGCTAGACGTGGCACACGGCAGCACTGCGTCGAAGCTGAAAACCTTGGGCGTGTTGCTGGGGTTCCACAGCTTGGAGTTTAGTCTTCTGTCTGTGCTGGACCTAGCATACTACTGCAACTACGACTACGACGGCGACGACTACTACTACCACCGCTGCTCGTGCGAGTGCTAGTGCTATTGCTATTGCTACTGCTACTGCGACTGCGACAGCATCTGCGACCACCACCACCACCACCACCACCACCACCACTACCACCGCTGCCAATACCACTACCGCTGCCACTACCACTACCCCTACTACCCTACGACGACGATGACTACTGCTACGACTGCGACTACCTCGACAACGACGACGACGACGACGACGACGGCTCGGCGGCGGCTGCTGCTGCTGCTGCTGCTACTACTACTACTACTGCTGCTGCTGCTGCTGCTGCTGCTGCTGCTGCTATTTGACCACCACTATCACCGGTACTAGCCTGGGCCATGAAGGTTACTGTGAACTGCCGACATGGACTGCATCTTAGCACATCTGCGATAGCATGGACGCTATGGTGGTCATGGTGCTGATAGCAACACGAGCAAGCATGCGAACTGCGGCATTGGAAGCAACAACCGCAGCAACAGTAACAGCAGTGCACTGTCATCACATCATGGTCGTAGAGTTGTTACAGAGTACTGGTGAAGAGCGAGCTATGTCGGCAGCCAAGCTTGAAAAGAAGATATGGAACTTGGAGCAGCGACTGCGCGAGGAGTTCCGCGTAGAGTTGCGGAGGGCAGTCGGGCACTGTGTCGCGAGAGTGCAGCATCTGGAGGCCGAGGTGCTTCTACTCAGAGGAGAGAAGCCTTCGAGAACAGGAGCACAATTTGCGGCGCAAGATCAGGTGTCCGTTGACGTCTCCTCCGGAGATGCCCCCCTCCCAGGAACTGTTGCTGAAAAGACACAGGAAGCGGACGTGCTGCCCGTCGCCCGGCCGTCTTGGCCTGAATGGCCGGAATGGGAGCCTAACGAGGCAGTAGCGAAAGATGAGTGTGTCGACTGGGTCCCATTAGAGCCCGTGGCTTTCTTAGAGTCTACGTGGAACCTCGTACTAGTCATGGGCTTCACCGATGCTGGTTGGCTGGATATCATCATTGCCTGCCTGCTTTTGATTGCCAGCGCTGGTCTGCAAATCGCCTTCAGCATAATTCTGCTGTCGCCAGATTTCCTTGGAGAGCCCTTTGAGAGCCACATCCAGAGCGCAGAATCTTGGAGGGTTGGTGTTGCCCATGATTACAGGCACGCACTTGTCACGCCAAGCAGCCCTAAACCCGAAATAATGCCTAAACCTTCAAGGCTAAGCCTTCAGACCCAACCCCCCCAAACCCCAAAACCCTTAAAAAGGCCCCATTAGCCCTCAACCCTACAGGCCCTATACCCTATGTCCGAAAGACCTCTTAAGTCCTAGGGCCCTAGGCCCATGCCGCATAAAGATATCAGCATGCAAAATATAGAATATGTACGGTACAATACGACGTGTATATCATATCATATATATATATAGATATATACATATATACATATACTATACTCAATACTTATAATATATTCACAGGCACATGGATCTGGCACAGACCAGCCTCGTCTCAAGGGTGTGCAACAAGGACCCTTCCCTCATCGTGTCGACAAGCCCGGGGCCTAGAAGGGTCCGGTTCAGGATTTGGGGTTCAGGGATCAGGGATTAGGGTTCGAGGTTGAGGGATTGTGGTTTGGGATTAGGGTTTAGGGTGTCTGTATAGTAAGCTTTCCGAAGGGGTCATGCGCAAGCCTCCAGCAGCTAGCAACGTCAGGGCGTTTAGTGACATGTTTCTGTTGCCCATATCTTGGGAGTAGAGTCACCGTAGGATCCGAGAAGGACTATCGGGACAGACATGCTAAACCCCCACAGTCAACAACACTTGGTACCCACCGATCCAGCACTGGTTTCCTGAAGGTCCTCAAAATAAGAGATAGTAGTCTACAGTGCATGTTATTTATGGTACAGTACAGTATATTATGTTATGGTACATTAAAGTACATTATACTCTATAGCACATCATAGTATGTAGAGCCGCGCTCGAATCGCAGGTCAAGCGACTCTCCTTGATCAGATTGATGCTTTCCTCGGCCTCTTACAACCCTTGAACGTGAGTTTGGGAATCCTCCTCTGCATGCTCTGCATCCTCCTGTGGTGCCTCTACCTGTGCAACGAATTTCGAGCCATTGGCCTGTCACTGGAGGCGATACTGCAGGTTCCACGTCGTGCCTACACGACCTTCGATCACGGCCGCTTTACGACCATGTCCTACTGGCGCTTCGCGGGGTATTTCCTGGCCCGACTCACTCGTGGCGTGATCGCCGGTTTGCTGCTTTATGCTGGAATTCTGTGGCTGGGGAATACCACGTCGATCACCGATCTGATGCTGAACGCGGTGGCCCTGGGGGCTGTCCTGGACGTCGACGAGATGTTTTTCGCGTCCCTGATGCCGAAGAAGATTCAGATCAAGATCCAAGACTTGGAGGCAACAATCAGGAATCACAAACAAGAGTCGTAGTCTTATTAGTCAAGACATGACGACTAGGACTCCTTTCCGAATTCGTGCAAGGCCCCAGCCTTGAACCCAAGGCCCGTAAGAGTCGAACTTGTGCTTCGGGCGGAGGGCTTGGGGGGTTTTCGCTGGAGGCCATCAAGATCAACTATACCCGCGCGAGGAGCCAAATCGAGTCTGTGCTGCTGCTTCTCATTATGCACCTCGCCACCGGATAAAGCGGTCGCTGGTGTTGGATCTAGCGTCCAGCTATAGACCTTCTAGTCTAGCTATCTCTCGCTGCTGCCGGGGAGTCTGAGTCTGGGTGGAGAGAGGAAGCTTCGGGATTTAAAGCGTAAGAGCTTAATTTGGGGTTGCAAGCTGAGACACCTCCACGGTTCCTTCCGGTCTGGGAAACCCCGTGTTCCATTCACCGCGAAGGCCCACACGAGGCGTGACACGAGACCCGAAAGCCCAGTCGTAGCATCCCGGCAGTTGTATATTAAGGGGTGGGCTGATGTTGTGGCCTTGGTTCCACTTGGTGGAGCCACTTGGCAACCACATGCTGGAGGTGAACAGGACCCGAGAGCTGCACGTAAAGAAGACTAGACCATATGCAGTTCCCGGTGTCATCGGCTGGTTGACATCTTCTGCATTGTGAAGTTGGCTGTAGCCAATGCTGTTCCTTTTGCTGATGAGATCCTCTTCTTCTTGCTCTTGGAACTGAAGCAACAAGAACAAGAA